ATGTGTACTCACACATTTAACTACATAGTTAACCACATAGAAAAGTATTTTCCTGAAAAATACCATTGTAGAGTCTAGTACATAGTAGGAACTCAAACATTTTATGTTAAGATTTTAAAAATATGCAATTTCCAGAAAAGAAAATTTTGTACAACTAAGTTAAAGATTAACCTCTTGCTCACCACCCAGCAAGCTTATTTTTAAATGTTTACTTAAAAAAAAAAAAAACCAAAAGATACGCACACCCATGTTCATCACAGCACTACTCACAATAGCAGAAAGTTGGAGGCAGCTGAAATACCCATCAATGGAAGAATGGACAAACACTTTGGTAGAGACACACAACAGAATACTATATAATGTTGAAGAATAATAATCTTCAAAACACCTCATAATGTGGATGAACCTGGAGGTATTGTGCTGAGTGAAATTAGTCAATAACAAAAGGACAAATACTATAAAAGCAATGCTGTAAAACCTCAAGAAAGGTTTTCATGCTAAAAAACGAAACAAAATCCAAAACCATTCTTTGATGGTTATCAGTAATGGGAGAGAAAAGAGAATAATTCACTAGCAAGTGGAAGACATGTTAACTCGAATGATAGGTAGGGAAATATACAACAAGAGGGACATTGGCTGAAGAGTGATGAAGACACAGGAAGGTATGGGAGGGCTGGTGGTGGGGTGGTGATGTAGTGTGGTTGCGGTGGTTATGTGCTGTGGAGTCAGTTCCGAGTCATAGTGACCCTGCATAGGGTTTCCAAGGCTATAAATCTTTATGGGAGCAGAAAGCCTCATTTTTCTCATGTGGAACAGCTGGTAGTTTCAAACTGCTGACCTTGCACCAGACTCATAACCACTATGTTACCTGAGCTCCTTATGGAACGGCTAAAGAGGATAAACACACAAACTTGGAACAACAATATTCTGTGGGTACATACATGGACAGACACACAGGCTGAACAAGTATGAGACGGAGACTGGCAATATACCCACAAATACATAAGGCTTTGACAGAGGAAGTTGGCACACAGGGATTCACCTTTGCGGCAAACACACCTATGGATATGGTTGTGGGCATGATGTTGTTAGGTGCCATGAAGTTGGCTCTG